CATTTCCACTTAGAAACGAACGCGTGCTAAAACGCTTAACTGACCGGCTGCGAACCCGCGACCTACAGATTAAGAGACGAGCGTACTCTGCACACTTAAAACTAAGCCACCAATTAGCTGATCATCGCCGAGACGAGGTGTAATATCAGTTTTTCAATGATGCATTGGGGTATTGTCCGAGAAGCGCCTCTCTTCGGTTGCAAAAACGAAATGCGCCCCTCGCTGCCGATTGATTCGACGTTGCCATGGCAACATGAGGCAGTTTTGCACCCCAACTGCGTCATCACCACATTTTAACCGGAACACTAGCCTCTCTATATAATATAACCTTGACCAATGATCAGATCCTTTCGTTTAAAAATTGTTCGAGTCTCATTACCGCGACCGACTTAAATTTGCGCGGGTGATGTATTGATATGAAGTTTTTATGCTATATACAGTACATTTAGGGCATAATCTAACCTGCCCCAATTAGATGCCCCATTTGGGGCAGAAATTCGACTGCCCGGGAGGCTAACTGCCCCATTTGGGGCAGGATTCCGGCTGCCCCAAACACCTCGTCGAGCTGGCTGCCACGTTTTGCAGACTGGTTGATATACAGTAGCGCAAAATGAGCCAGGCTCTATTATCAGCAGGGTTCGAGCAGGAGTTATAAAATAATGGATTGAGATGCACATTGCAGGACTGGTAAAAATAAAAATATGAAAGCTCACCCTTGTCCCTTGGCCATTCTGATTCAGGCCTTTAACTTCAGAAATACTCTTAATGTACCTACCCAATAACCTACCTTTTGTGCATCAACCATTCAGATAAGTTAAATGCAGTAGAATTATGAAAACCTAAAAAAGACAGGCATACACCAAACACCCACTAACTCTTCGCACTAGTCACAATTTTACTTTTTCAAATCCAAGGCCATCTATAGAAAATTGAATTTCAAATGAAAATTGAAGTTCAAATCTATCATTCAGAATCGGTGCGCGCCACAACTGTAATCAATTGCGCCATTTTACAAATAACGCTTTTCAGCACTACAACGCCGCCATGAAATGATGACACGCAGTTTCAGTTTCTGAACAAAGACTAGTATGATGGTAGTTAACCATGAAAAATTAGAGGTATACTTTCAATTTCTATTTGTTTTTTTAATGATTACATTTCATGAACCATATCACATTTTAATTCATTAAAATATTGTCGCCGCAGTTCTTTGATCAAAGAAAATGAAACATTCACTCTATACTTGTCTATGCACTCTATTATAACAACTAATAATATTCAAAAAAGTTACTTCATATCTAAAACATGCTATTAGACAACTGAACTTGATTAGCTTCATTTGGATATGACAATAAATGGTGGCATCAGATTATTTTGATATATTTGCATCAAAATAGCCGATATTAATTTCAAGGACCTTGAAAAGGACATTTGAGGCAGAAACAGCGCAGAAGTTTTGTAAAGGGTGAGAAGAGGAGAAGGTGTAGGTGTGTCATTTAGAGTTATTTTATTCAGAACATTTCTGTTCAACATTAGGCATGTTCCTTCTTGAAACACTGGCTTATTTTTAGATGCTTGGTGGTTAGGAAATGGTCTACATTTATGCCCAAATATGGTCATGAAGAATCAATTTTTTGATGCCTCCATTTGTATTCCAGAACAGCCTTGTTTGCCCAACTGATATTCCGCTTCCATATTCCGGAAGGGTGGTCTCAGTTAGGTACCAGACAGAGACTTTTTGCCACAATGTTAAGTGACAAATCGCAATGGGTTGGGGTGGGCTGATTGCTGAAACTTGAAAGGCTGAAACAGACTGCACTGCTTAAATTCTAGAATTACTGCCATAGTCAAGAAATCTGTATTTGGGATATAAAAATTGCCTTTCACTGCCAGCTGGAAAACAAAATGTTGCTGCTGTCATGACATGGCTACCGTTGCCGTGATAGGCGGATTGTGCCGAAATTTTGGTGCAGCATCTGTTGTGACTCAGTGTGTGGAAATTTCGCATTCCTTCCCTACTTAATTGTATTTTTGCCCTTTCTTTCATGTTTATATATTACCTACAGGCTACATCTGAATGTTACTTTAATAATTTTATTTCATTTATCACTGTTAATACTATCACTTTTTTATTCTTTGGCTTAACTGGTTTTAAAGTAAAGAGTCATTTTCAACTCAAAAGTCAGGTTTTTATAGAAAATGCACACTCTTTTGACTGTAAATCCAGACGAAATATGCCTCTATTGTTAACTTTTAAAATGCAGGAAGTTACTGCAAGATGGATCCATGGCAACCGCAGATAGAATGCCCTGAATCAGTGGAAGGAACAAAATCAGTGTCTGAAAACAAATTTGATGACAGTTTTGTGGAGTTTAAAGCACTGGATAATGCTGGAGAGGAAGCAGCAGATCCTCACAAGAAGCTTGCAGATACAGATGCATATCTTAATAAGCTATGTGAGTATACAGGAGGATGTATCATATTATTTTGGCTCAATTTCTCTGTTTTATAATCTGCTCCTTTGTCCAAGCTGTTTCAGATTACCTACCCTGATTGTGATCACTGTCAGCTAAGTCATTGACCACACTGTTCCTAATTCCTATTCCTTTGACGTTCCTACTCATTATATCACCTCTTAATCAATATTGGCATCAGTGTCCACACAAACCACTAATTATTGACTTTTTCCGGCAGACGGGAGGCTTGGTCGTCTGCAGCAGGCCCCGTCTTCACAGCAGCTGGTGTCTGCGCTCCGTAGCGGTCGCGAGGACCAGCTGGCGCGGCTGCTGAGCTCCGATCCGGCGGAGAGAAGCGCCGAGGACCCCGTGCCGTCTGAGCCGGTGAGCGCCGGCTACCTGCAGCGCCGCCTTCTGCCGCACACCGTGCCACTCAGCAGCGACGAACTGCTGCAGCTACTGAAAGAGGACCAGCTGCAGCGTCAGGCCGCCGACCAGTAGCGGCGCGATGGCACCCACCCTGCAGCGCCGCACCCTGCTGCTGGTGACCGGCGCCAGCCGCGGCCTCGGCCGCGAGCTGGCCGTCAAACTGACCGCCCGGCTCGCCTCCGGCTCCGTGGTGGTGCTCACCGCCCGTAACGAGGCCGACCTGATGCGCACCGCCGAGATGATCGCGCTCACGGCGCCGCCCGACGTGCGGGTCGTGCCGCTGGCCTGCGACCTGGCCGTGGCCGACGACCATGACCTGGAGCGCATCGTCGGCGCCGGCCTGGAAAGCAACCCGTCGGTAGAAGCGGCCATGATCATTCACAACTCGGGCAGCGTGGGAGACGTGTCTCGCACGGCGCTGCAACACGACAGCGTGGCCAGTGCCGACTCGTACTTCCGACTGAACGTGGCGGCGGTGGTGGCGCTCAACGGCGTGTTCCTGCGACAGGTGGGTCAGCGCGCGGCGCACGTCACCGTCATCAACATCTCATCTCTGTGCGCGCTGCAGCCGTTCAAGTCGATGAGTCTGTACTGTGCCGGGAAGGCGGCTCGAGACATGTTCTTCCGCGTGCTGGCGGCCGAACACCCGGAGCTGCGCGTGCTCAACTACGCGCCCGGTCCGCTGGTGACTGATATGGCGCGCACAGTGGCCGACACGACGGCTGACCCCGACATCCAGAAGATGTTCCGCGAGGGGGTCGACGGCGGGTTTCTCACGTGCGCCACAACTGTAGAGCGACTGATCAATGCGCTAGAGAGCGACAAATTCGAATCGGGAAGCCATGTCGACTACTTCGACAAGGACGAATGAGACAACGATCAGGTAGGGCTGGCCTACCATGGTTGATAGTAGGGTGTATGATTTGGGTTCAAGTCGGGATATAGTCTCGTAGGACGTGAAATCTGGTCTATCTCAAGCAGTTGATCTTAGAGCCGCACAGTATTGGTTGACGGGATGGGACCAGCCTTGGGCAGTGCTAGTGGTTGTGGTTTTTTATATACGTTGTGCCATCTTTTTTTCATGCACCGGTGTTTGGGACCACTTTGTCGCCTGGTACCGAATGTGCGATCTCGCAAAGGTAACGTCACGTTATGTTTAATGGTACTTAGCACCTCGCATTATCGCCAAACATTTATTTCCGGAAATGAGTTCCCAAATGATACGAAACGTAGCTGATTCTGTCTATCTCTATACCTTTTTGTTATAATCATGCGTGAAAGGTGTAGGGAGGTGCATTTGCAAGTCAACGCGGTTTAGTTACTATATTTTATATATATTATCTATGAATTGTATCGCAGTATCGTATTGTAGCTTGGCAAAGACAATAAAGTCAACAATTGTTCGAAATCGTTTGAAGGGTTACGCAGGGTATACTGAATAAGTTTTTTTCAACTCTGCACGCTTCTTTTAAAAAATATTGCATGCGGACAGCCAGGTCATAGTGAAGAGCTCGTTACGGAAAATCGTGAACTTCTTCGTGCATTCACTTGTTTTGTGACAGCCTAAAAGATTAAGGTCATTTGCCTCTTGTCGCAATACGGGGCCGTATAGTGATCATGTTCCTTTCCCGCCGGATATCAATCACTACGTTTCCATGACACGTCTAAATCGATTTAGCGAAATTTCACGTTCGTTTTTCTCGGAAACTATTTACCTTATGCAAAAAATGAGCGTATATATGGTTTTAGCTAGCACCTAATCCCTATTCCTATATTTACATTTTTACATTATGCCTAAATGCTATGATGGAGCAAATCCATTTTTCAAAATCGTGCCATGGAAACGTAGCCAGTATACGATTGATATACGCTTAAGCTCAGAATCAGGACTTGTCAGGATCAGGATAGTGATAATGATCTTGGGGTCTTAGACCGCCCAAACTGCATTTTGCCATCGACGCTCATTGGCTTAGGACAGAGGGTTTGAGGGAGAGAGAGGAGAGAGAGAGAGAGAGAGAGAGAGAGGGGGGGGGGGTCGTTGCCGAATACCTACGCATCGCACTGTAAATTGGGTGGGTGTTTTCTGAGGCTGATGGTTCAGCAAGTAACAAGATGTTTCTCCATGTTCGTTACACTTTATTCAGAAATGGCGAAGGCACATGAACGTGCCTACCTAGATAGATCTACCGTACAACGTAGAAGTATTAAGTAGTTAAGTACATCGCTCATCGCTTACATCTAGCACAGTTGAAAAGTTCATTCTCTTCTTACGCTCAGGAAACAGTTGGACAGATCGCAAACAGACGGAATGCAAAAGAAAGGGCTGAGCGAGAATCGATTCGATTAGGTCCGTATTACTGCATGGGTGTTTCATTTATTGCATAAGTGTAACGTAAATATATTTGTAAATGGCGCGACCTTCAAGGCAGCTCTTAGTAAAATAATCAGGCATTTCTGCAGTCTGCACACCTTACACCATACACTGTACAGTGTCAATGTGCAATGTGCATCAAGACAGGAATGTATCATACAACACCCCTCAGACATGTACACTCGGGGCAGATTGATGTTCCACCACTCCCTACCCATCGGGCGATCCCGTGGCTCAGCACTGGCTGCTGTCAGTGTTGCCTGCCCTCAGCACTGCTCAGCACTGCCTGCCAGTACCAGTGCTGCCAGTGCTGCCACTGGCAGCAGCCAGTGCTGAGCCATGGGAGCCCGATGGGAAGGGAGTGGTGGAACATCAATCTGCCCCCGAGTGTACCATCAATGCTATGCTGGGTGTTACGAGTAAATATGATGATGCCTCCTCCGTTAAGTTATTCCAAATACCGACATACCTAACGAAATTACAATACGTCTATGTGTGTATCGACAAGGTCAGATCAAAATGCGAATAAAGGCCACGCAATGAAGGCCACAGTCAATGATTGTATCGCTTGCCAGGGCTGGTCGGACTCTCCCGTCTGCCGCATCATCCCTGTGTGTCAGACCTCTCGGGTCGGAGGTCAGACTGCCCGCAGCAACAGTCCAATAACAGACGCCAAGAGCACGGCCATGGCACCATCCAGACTTCCGCGAACGGCACCAGAGTACCCGGACTGGAGGCACTCAGTGTTTCCGCTATCGGTCCACGGCTCGAACTCGGGATATGCGTGAGGTCCGGAGAACTGAAATCAGATGCGGGAAACAGTTTGGTTAGCTCATGTAGCTCATGTAGAGCTCATGTAGTAAAGGGGATATACACAGGACAGACGCCAGACGGTGATAACGATAAAGCTAAAAAAGAAATACGCTTTGCGTCAATCCTTTTTCTAATTTTAAGCAATAAGGACCCTGAACTTCTCCAGATGCTGAGAGCAGTAAAGGTCCATTACATTCCACACAATTGCACATGATATTTTCCAGACCGATGATCGATCGCCGGTGCGTCACTGCTTATCAACCACCGCCCCTCGGTGCTCTAAATGCCATCGCCCGGCACTCAGTACTCACGATATCCTTGTAGTTCTTGGTCTGGTGGCGCGCGTCGGTGGCACACCGGTGGTAGACGCGGCCGCCGTTGGACAACCTCTGCAGATGTTGGATGGACTCTTGGCTCCAGTCCAGCTGCGTCAGGTACTCGTAGAGCGTGACCGTAGCAGTGTCTGCGGTAGAATCGTCGGATGATTGACACGGTCGGATAAACGATAAACACTGCTAGTTCGGCCTTGACGAAAAGGACATCCCTATCATATGACAACATCCCTGAACAATCCATGAGGCGCCTGTCTCACCTCAGACAGAGCGTGAGGGCCGTCTCACCTTGGTCCTTGTACACCCTGAGGGCGCTGAGTTCGGCCTTGTTGAACCAGTCGTCACGACCACCACCACGCCTTTTGTTATTTTCCCTGTCGCCTTCTTCGGTGATGGAGCCGTTCTGAAACGCAAGGTGGTCGAAACTATATGATTGTGCTCTGGCTGGATAATTACTTTTTGGCAATGAGGAAGATTCCACAGGATGCGTTCTGAAAACTTAGAGCTGACTGACGACGCAATCGATGGGATGAGTACACGAAATCCACACATTTACCATTGATGCTCATAGTTCTTACCAGAACTGCTTCAATGATGTGCGCCTGCAGTTTGAAGCCTGCATCGGTCCAATATTCGGCACCGGTGATGGGGCTGCGGAAAAGAAATGACGGTTTGGTGGAAAGCTCTGCACACAGTGGACATTGTAGACGCAGCGATGAGATCTAGGAGCTCAACTGCTTTCAGCAGGTGGCATGTGTATTGCGCACACTTCACACAGACACACACGCACACGGGCACGGCCCACGGGGTCCATTCGGTGGGTGCTGACTCACGGCAGAGTGTAGTTGCCGAGCTGGACAAGGGGCACCTCCATCGCCTGCAGGAAGTCGCCGACGTGTGGTTTGCTGCCGCAGTTGGCCAGTGGGGTGCGTGGGAAGTAGGTGATGAACGCCAGGCACATCTCGTTCTTCGTGCTGAACCCGCCCTGTTGGCACACACAGATCATTGATGTTAGAGCGACATTCCATTCCCCATCCGCAGGAAACAGAGGTTAGAGCGGCAGATATTAGCGCGGTATCTCCATTCTTATGCTTACGGAGACAGATACTGGCGCGACATCTGGTGGGATGAGTTGGGACAGAAGCTGGTCGAGTGCCATCGACGACTGATTCAGTGAACTGGACGGTATCCCGGATATCCACACAGACGGGTCCACACAAAAGTTGTGCAAGTTATCAGATGATTTGGGTCAACCAGGTATAAATGCTGACGGTCGTCCGAAGAAACTTCACGACTCGAGCATTAGTGAATCGAAAGATTGCCACCACTCTACTAGAATCTACTAGAATCTACTAGAATCGATCGCACCATTCAGCTTTGCTCAACGCTAGTGCAATGTTCTCCGTGAGCACTGAGCACGCTCCGTGAGCACTGAGCACGCACTGACCATGGTGACTTTGTCACGGTCCTTGGTCTCGTAGTCGCACTCGACCAGCAGCGCGTCGCCGGGGAGGACTCGCACCGACTGGTCCACGCGGCGACTCTGCTGGTAGTTGAAGTCGTAGAACCGGTCTGAAAAGATGGTATACATGCAGTGAGTGAGGCTCGGCACCAGCAGCTGCGAGACTTGCGTTAGATGTGGACTGTGGATCATAGCTGGCGATCCTGATTTTGAAATGGGGTTTGCTTTCTACGAAAACTTTTCAGTTTCACATATTGTGGTATTGGAATCACATTCCACACTTCTACATGCCTGCTAGGGGCTAAGCAACTCTAACAAGCGTCAGAAGGGGTTAAGTCGAGTGTTGGAACAAATCTGATCTGCCTGGCAATCCTGCGCGGCGCCCGTCGTGGAGCTCACCGACGATGAGCGGCGGCAGCTCCCTTCCTTTGCGGACGTGTCGCACGCGGATCGCCCTGGCAGCCAGGTGGCCGTGCAGCATCACTGAGTGAATCTGCACTCCCTCCTCGGGCAGGTACTGTGGATAGGGGCATCACAGTGTCAGAGAGTGGATCTGGAGAGGACTCCCTCCTCGGGCAGGTACTGTGGATGCGATCAAAGTGTCCGAGAGTGGATCTGGAGAGGACTTCCTCTTCCGGTAGGTACTGTGGATAGGGGCATCACAGTGTCAGAGAGTGGATCTGGAGTGGAATCCCTCCTCGGGCAGGTACTGTGGATAGGGGCATCACAGTGTCAGAGAGTGGATCTGGAGAGGACTCCCTCCTCGGGCAGGTACTGTGGATGCGATCAAAGTGTCCGAGAGTGGATCTGGAGAGGACTTCCTCTTCCGGTAGGTACTGTGGATAGGGGCATCACAGTGTCAGAGAGTGGATCTGGAGTGGAATCCCTCCTCGGGCAGGTACTGTGGATAGGGGCATCACAGTGTCAGAGAGTGGACCTGGAGAGGAATCCATCCTCCGGCAGGTACTGTGGATAGGGGCATCACAGTGTCAGAGAGTGGATCTGGAGTGGAATCCCTCCTCGGGCAGGTACTGTGGATAGGGGCATCACAGTGTCAGAGAGTGGATCTGGAGAGGACTTCCTCTTCCGGTAGGTACTGTGGATGGGATCATAGTGTCAGAGAGTGGATCTGGAGTGGAATCCATCCTCGGGCAGGACTGTGGATAGGATCACAGTGTCAGAGAGTGAATCTGGAGAGGAATCCATCCTCGGGCAGGTACTGTGGATGCGATCAAAGTGTCAGATAGTGGATCTGGAGAGGACTCCCTCTTCCGGTAGGTACTGTGGACTGGATAGGATCACAGTGTCAAAGAGTGGATCTGGAACGCCCTCCTAGGGCAGGACTATGGATAGGAGCATCAGTTTAATACAGCATGTCTCGATCTGACCTCTTGGACTACTCTGTGGGTAGATCGGAACAAAACTGTAACTGCGCAGTGACACACAGTGGGTCTGGGATATCTCGGTGGGCACATTGTTGATCGTAGACTATCGAGTTCAAGGGGCGTCTGGGTCTCAGGCAACTGTCCTGGCCGACTGTTTATTGTCGTCCATAAGCTGTTCTACAGAAACGTAGAAGACGTCATAAAAGACTACAGAGTGCTCACTGCTCATTGATTTGACGCGTGCTCACCTTTTCCGTGCAGTCCTGCGGGCACACACTGCCGCTGACGAAGTCTGAGATTCCCGGAGGGATGATCTGAGTAGAGGAGACCATGTGGCCGGCGGTCACGACGGCGGCCTCCACTGGACGCAGCGCGCGCGTGTAGAACACCTCCAGGCCGCTGCTGTCCCTCACACCTGCGATAAAGGCTCAGCCGTGTAAACGTGTAAGACTTTACAGTTACATACCCACAATTATATTGAACTCGTATGCATCATCATATCTAAGTCCCCTAAACTCTACACAAAACCCGTGAAAAGTACCCTCTTTTTACGTTCTAGACCGACCTTTGTGCACCTGCGGGTTGTCGTAGTGCGTCTCCAGCATGAAGTAGGTCGATCCGCCAAACTCGGTTCCCAGTGGCATGCCGACGTCGTCGGGAAGCATGTCGCCCTCGGCACCGACCGCCCACACAATAAACACCGACTGGCACAGTGTCCAGCTGGGCGGCATGTTCTTACTGCAAGGACGTGGTCGGGGTAAAACGGTGAGGTGGTGGGACCAGGCATGCTCTTACTTAGGGACACGGTCAAGGTAAAATGGCGAGGTGGTGCAGGCAGGGGAGTTCGGCTGGCGCCAGGCCTACCATGTATGGTCGAATTCGAATATGTAGAAACGGTCACGGAGTCAAAGAACGAAGTCTCCCGTCGTTTGTGAAACAAATATCGACTATCGACTGAATACATGCGCGAATGTAATTAAAGATTGAATGATGTGAAACGTTTTTTTAGCATGATTATAATTATAATGGAAATCAGATGGAATAGTAACCATCATAATTAAAGTAAGCTAAAAACAAATCCAAAATATATTTTCGGTGCTGGACCTTCTTCAGTCGAATCATGATTCCCTAATGACTCCACTAAAGAAGGTCCAGCACCGAAAATATATTTTGGATTTTTTTAGACTACCTTAGTTATGAGCAAAAGGTTACTATTCCTTCTGATTTCCGTTAGAAGGTAATTAAAAGCGCTTATTCTAACAACGTGTTGTTTTATTCATAGATGTGTTCTCGCTGAGCATCGACTCGAGGCGACTCCGTACGAACCTGTAGCACTTTGAGCCGGGGTGGCTCCGGACGTAGTTCTCGAAGACGCCATGAGCGCTGGGCGGCAGTGCGCAGGAGTACATCACAATGTGGTGCACATATCTGGCGGTGGCCGGGTCCAGACGAACACGGTACTGTAAACGCAGGGGATCTGGTCAGCAGGCCTGCGGGTGCCAGCGGCCGGGTCCGGGTCTGATGCCACAGGGCCGGAGACCGGCCAAGTCGTCCCTGCTTGGTATGCTCCGCACGGTACGCATTGTCTGAGATGTGACACTCGCACACAATGGGCCCCGGTGTGTCACTGCATTTATGCGAGTGAGGAATGTGCAGGAGACTATTTTCCACTTGTACGCTGTTAAACAGATTCAAAGACAGAGACGTTGAGGTAGTGAAGGGTTCGTTATATAATCGTACCTGCAGTGGTATTAGTACCTAAAGCAGGGAATCGCTGTGATGTGCCACCCCAAAGGGTCTCTATAGACAGGTGCTGCCCTCGGAGCGTGCAGGACCCGTCGTGCCAAGTTCTACACCTCCACGACTCACCCCCGTGTAGTGGACCTTTCCGCCGAGGTCGGGCATCTTGTGGATCTCGCAGTGGTAGTGCGTGCTCTCCTCGAGCACCTCTGTGTCCGTGTTGCGGATCACAAACGACTCCGAGTCGGTGGGAAACTCGAAGGTGCCAGAGCCGTCCAGACTGACGCTGCGCACACCGCGCCGCGAGCCGTGGTAGGTCGGCCCGCCAGCGCCCGGGTCGGACGGGTGCAGCGCCCAGATTAAACGAGTTGTGTCCACCTGAAAACAGCGGGAGTCGGGAGATTACCGGCCGTGAGTCACAAGCTGAGAAACAGAAAGGTGCACGCAGACTGAAAAGAAACGTTTCACGTCTTTTTACCGTACTATTTTCTACATTAACTTTAAAAATGAATAAGGACAAAAACATGCGTTTTACTTTGTTATCAGGTCATTTATGTTTATTGTGACCAATTCGAATTTGCTGGGCGTTGAACAAGACATCTTTTAGTCATTACAACGCATCACCTACTTCACAGCTCACGCCTCACCGTTCATCTCAGTTCCCTACGCGAGTTTTGATATGATCCGAGACGTCGCGAAGGATATATTACAAATATCCAGTCACATCCGGTGGGTGCCGAGCTGCCGTAAAGTCACCACCCGCCACTCACCCCCAGGTCAAGGTCGTGTTCCTTATCGCACGAGCGCAGGGGCCGCTGGAACGTCACCACCGTGTGCGTCGAGTTCTCGTAGCCGTCCAGAAGCTTCACGTTATTGCTCTTGTCAAGGATCGGAGCGCTGTTTGACACGGCGTGCATGTCCTGTGTGACAGACGTGTCATGGAGGTCAGCTGACTGGCACGCCGGGTGGGGGTGCATCTGGCGCGTCTGGCCACACTGTATCAGTAGTTACTACGCTCGAGTTACACTCGGACTATAAACACCAGGTCGCTAATACGTTCACCTAGGATTTCGCCAGACTTCATCGGTTATTAGTTGATAATTAATTGCGTATTTTTGACTGTCAGTTGCAATTATTGTATCCTGTGGCCTGCTTATCTGTGAGCAATGTAACGAGCCTATAGTTTTATAATTAGGTAATAATAGATAAATGAAGTTGGCCTTTCCCTCGACTTTAAAAATGTACAAACCGAATAGCATGTTTTGAAAAAAACGGTGGGCTTTCGGCCACTGGCCTTTATCAAACCAACGTGATAGCAATGTTCAAAGGGGATCGCCATTGAACATTGTTATCACGTTGAACTGATAAAGGTCAGTGATCGAAAGCTCACCGTTTTTTTTCAAAATATACCTACTATTTGGTTTTTGCATTTTTAATATCGAGGAAAAGGTCAACTTCCTTTATTTAATTATATTCAATATGGTCCTCGCTATAGAGGACTAAACAACATTACAATTTACAGTTTTATTTATTGAATTTAAGTTTTCCGTCGAACAGTCCAAGTGCGCCCAATATTAGAAGGGCTCATTATCCTCCTTCTGGTCTGCGGTAATCGTGAGAGTCATGCACCCTTGACCCTACTCCCTGTGACCTCCCGAGTCCCTACGCTTAAGGTCAAATGACATCATCAGAAGGTCATGTGATGTCTCCAGCTAATATTTTTATTTGTATACGATATAAACGCTAACGTTTCTTAATTATCCTCTTTTCTGTCGAGAAGGTCGATTAAAATGCGGCATGATCATTCATCCAACTCACTGCCCTGACCTCGGGTCAAATTTGACCGATAAGGAGACCCCAGCAAATATGTAGAAGATAGGACGGTAGTACAGTATGTAGGGGAGAGTGGGGCACATTCGTGCATGGGGCACATTCGTTTTCAGCAATTTATGGGAACACGAGTGACTGCACGAGCTAAAGGTAAATATGAAAATATGTCTATCATTGCCGCCCTTCGTTCACTGTAGGAGACAACACTGTGCCTGATGTCATGCTTGATAAAAACGCAAATTTGTCATATTCGTGGGCTTTCCAAACTTTTCTCATATCATCCATTTTCGTGATCCTGACTCGGAAATGTGGTTTAACTTTTCAAAATTGGGTCCGAAGAAGCTCACTCTATTCACGGAACTGCTGCAAACTTGTTTGTTGAAAAACTGTCATTTTTTCAATAAGAAATTTTGAATTATATTACAAATAGTGTTGTGGGGCAGGTTCTTGCACGCACTGCCTAGGGGCACATTCCTGCATATTTTTTTCGTTTTTGCGATTTATGACTTTATCTGTAGTAGCGACGCTCGCCTGACTCAGTCTCGGCTGCTTGCGACGTCGTGACAAGTAATTCACGTGACCCTTGGAGAGGTCACGGAGGCGGGTCGATGGCCGGCGGTTGGCACATTCTTGTTGGTCAGCCAATTCTTTCTACATACGTTGTGCAATGCATTCCTGTGGAAAGGAATCAAGTAAAATGATCCCCTGCCCATTTCTTTTGGTAAATTTCTGGCAATGCCCGGTAATTCATTTAATTTTGCCAGGGGCGGATCCAGGAATTTTCGGGAGGGGGGGGGGGGCGGCAATTCGAAATAGGGGCGACCTGGCAATCCGGGGGCGCTCAATACAAAGGGGGCGCCAAACCGTCAAAATCGGGAGCTAAAAGCCCGCGCCGTGCTAGGGGGCGTTATCACGCTCCCCCTCAGGTTTTTCGCATATATCTGAAAAACGGCTGCGCGCAGCGCCGCCATTTTCAGCATACCTTATCATGCATCTTTTTTGCACATGTTGTAAAAATGTCTGACGCGGGTGATGGAAGGTCAGGTCACCAGGTTATGCCAAGTGACCTAGCCTAAGAAAAAGTTCAAATGCTTACCATTGCTATACCGACTGAACGATTGCTTTGAACCTTTCAGCGATTGATGAAAGCAACACTATTCATGAAATGTATATCTCGGAATTTCGATATCTGTGACCTAAGGTCAGGTCAGTTGTGCGACGTCTCCATTAGGTAGGTAGGTATAATTAAGTCTTTGGGAGAAAACTGAAAGGCATCTCTTTTGGACAAGCGCCATTCTAGACAATATCAAGCATTGGGATACATATACAATTAACACACTGAATAAGAACATTGCACCTAGTGTGACCACTCATTATGTCCTAGAGGTCATCCCATGTCATGAAAGGTCCGCAGCAGTTTTTTTTTTTAAATAACTTTTGATAGATTCAAGCTAGAGCGATAAAAACACCTCAGCTGTGTTCAGCTCGACGATACGCATCGACTGCTATGCAGCATGACCTTTCCCGGTCAATCATGACCTTAACCTGAGGTCAAATTCTCAAAATTACCTTTCATAAAGTCAACCTTTAGTTTGTTCGACGTGTCTCGACGACAGAAACGCAATGCTGACAAACGTAATGTCGAGACTCTCTTGAGTCAAAAGCTATTGCAGGAAAACATTGTTCGTAAAAAGGCTATTTTTAGAGTCTTTTGCCCTCTGAAGGCTAAACCGTTGACCTGAGGTCAAATCTGAGCGCAGCTTGCAGAAACACCTTTAAAAGGGCTATCGAATGCGCTTTTCTGCGGCGCTATAGCTCTATTGGTTTCCGAGTTATGTGCCGCTGCTTCGAAAACGGAAAAATGTTGAAACAGGCAACATTTTACCTTTGATGACCTCTGGTAACCTGACATTCGACCTGACCTAAAAAATGACCATTTTGTTTTCGTCCTGTTTTTTGACGATCTTTCGAATGCCGCTTATCGCGTGTCACTACGCGGCCCAGGAGCCGAGTTAGACGAGGGAGTTTGCCCCCCCTCCCTCCCCAGCAGGACAAGGAAAACTCAGACCACCAGCACGGCACGGGTTAAAAGTCGTAGATGGGCACCGCTACCCTAGCAAAAGATATTAGCAAAAAGGTGGCCCCCATTTACTGGTGCAGTCCTTCTTCTCCCGGTGATGCCCCCTCCTTTTTCTGGAAGCGTCTAACTTATGCTGGTATGCCTCACTTCCCGGGGGCGCCCAACCTCTGCTTGGATCGCCTAATCCATTATGGAGAGACCCAGTTTGCTTAAGTCGCCTCATTTCTTCCTTCTAAGAACGACCAATTTGCTGTAGGCGGTCCACTTATCTGGGACGCCCATCTTCTGCTAGAAGTGCCCCTCTTCTTCCTGATGAGTCACACTTCTACTACGAGTGCTGAGTGCACCTTTTCTGTTAGGGCGCCCCTTTGCTGCTGAGGAGTCTTTTTTCTACTGTGAATAGGGCGGCCCTCTCCTGCTGGGCGACCTCAAATTCTGCTGGAGGCGCCCCACTTCTGCCCAACTTTTGGTGGGGTGGCCCTCTCTTGCAGGGGCACTTCTCTTTTGCTGGAGACGCCACTCTTGTGGGGGCGCCCTTCCACTGCGGGGAACGTCTCTCTTCTGCCAGAGGCACCCCTTTTCTTCTTATGGGGCTCCAGTTTTTTTTTCTGGGGCGAGGCGACCCTCTGCTGCTCGGAACGGGACACACCTCTCCTTTTACTGGGGCACCGCCCCTCTGCTGGGGTTGCCCTTCCGCTGTCGTCAGGGGCGCCCCTCTTGGTAGAATATACTCCTTTTCTTTTTGTAATGGGGCGCCCCTCTTCTACCGAGGGCGCCCATCTGCTGCTGGGGCGTCTGTCTTCTGCCGGATATTGTCAATGGGGCGCCCATATCCTGTTTGGCGGGCCCAACCTCTGCTGGAGGCTCCCTATTTCTGATTACCTTTTGCTGTGGCGCCTCTCTTCTGCTTGGGGCGCCCGTCTCCTGCTGGAGACCCCTCTCTCTTCTGCTGGGGCGCCCCTCTTCTGCCAGTGGCACCCATTTTCTTATTATGGGGCTCCTTTTTTGCTGGGGCGCCCAGCTGCTGTCAGGGCGCCCCTATCTCGGAATGGGGGCGCCTCTCTCCTTTTGCTGGGGCGTCGCTCCTCTTCAGGGGGACACGTCTCCTGCTAAGGGCGCCCTTCCGCTGCCAGGGGTGCCCCTCTTGAACAGAAGGTATTTTATATTCTTGTAACGAGACGCCCTCTTCTGCTGGGGGCGCCCATCTGCTGCTGGGGCGACTCTCATCTGCTGGGAATAGGCAATCATGGGCGTCACTCTCCTGCTTGGTGAGCCCAACTTCTGCTGGAGGCACCCTATTTCTGCTGAACCTTTGCTGTGTCGCCGCTCTTCTGCTCGGGGCGCCCTCTCTGCCGCGGGATATGGGCGCCTTTTTCGGATGGCGGGGGGGGGGCGGCCGCCCCCGTCGCCCCCCCTGGATCCGCGCCTGAATTTTGCAGGGTGCACGGAAGTGCCCCACCCCATGCACGAATGTGCCCCATACCTGGGGCAGTTTCGTGCAAACGTTAAGAGTTATTAAAAGTCATTTTTTCTAATAGAAGCGGTAACTTTAGAGGATAAGTTTTAAAGAGGAAAAATATGTGCAATAGTTCCTTTCCATACTACAATCAACAATTTTGCCGTTGCACTAACCAAAGAACAGATATATGGATTTATCCATTTTTTGCACGAATGTGCCCCACTCTCCCCTACCTACTACTTATATTGCTAGGGTTTCTTGGAAGCAGCAGCTGACCTTATAGGCGAAGTTGACCGGAATTGCGGCTGGCCGCACGAGGTCTACAGAAACCCTAGACAGCAGTGCCTTGATACACTAGGTTGTTCGTTACTTCTGCTGTGTTAACCCGCGCCCTGGTGTGGGTCTGAGCCACCTTCGCCCTGGTGGGGGGGGGCCAAAATGACCCCCCCCGTCTAACTCGAAAACGAAGAGGGCTAGGAAGACGCGGAAAAAAGCAAACGAAAGCCCATGACAAGTACGTTCGAAAGTATTTCGGTCATTTTTTCGCTAAG